AAATATTACAAGATAAAATGTATAGATATGGATTTATCTAATAATATAAAATCATTTTTATAACAAACAAAGGCAATAAAAATAATTTAAAGCAATAACTTTTTATCTTCAAATGTTTTTATTAGTAAAAAAATAATAAAAATGATTCCATGTTAAAAAGTTATTATAACATTACCTTCAAATATTAACAATTATTAAAATAATTTAAAAATAAAGCAAAACAATATAAAGATAAAATAAACTAAAAAATAACTATGACAAATTGGGACATAATCTCACTGTGGATGGGGAGTTTTACTTGTGGACGATATATTGGGGAATTGACGGTCCCTATCCAATGCTTATTGTGGATGGGGGACCCTCTAGAGTGAACGGAACAGCTGCATGTAATGTGATATTCATGCAATTGAGCACAACCTCAATTTGCTCTTTCTAGTGTGGAGTGAATTATTTCTCCTTTTTCTTATAAGTGCTTTATTGAATGTTTTTCTTTGAAGATAAGCGAGACTCTCATCAAATTGTATTGATTAACTCAAAATGTTTGAAGTAGCAATCAATGACACTAAATACAACGTTAACCAAAATGTGGATTGGTACTAAGATGAAATTGAAGTAGGAGTCGGTTCAAATTTGATGGAGTTGATGGTTGTGTAGGGCTACTTAACCAATGATAATAATGCGCTTGGATATATTACCCGTTGCCACTCACAGTACACCACAACCGCACACAAGGCTGTACTATCCAATGGCTAGGTGCGGATACATCTGGAGCAATAATAACCACTGTTTTTAAAATCGGACTGGACCAGAAAAACTGAGAATCGGTCACTTGATAGGTTTTGTTTTTTTTCTAAAATCGTTGATTTTGGTCAGTAAACCACTGAATCAGCCGGTTAATCATTTGAACGGTTTTGATCGTTTTTCAAAATTTTTAAATTTTTTTATTTTTTTTTTGTCAGAACGGGCCGATCATTCAAGTCGAACAGTCGGACTGTTCGAACCAATAACCGGACCCCTGACCAGTTCGGTCACCGGTTTGTTTTTAAAAACCATGATAATAACCCCTCATGTGAGCCACTAATTGCATATCTTGTACTAAGATGGCCATTCCTCTTAATAACTTATAACAAGGTTTAAAGTATCAATACACCCATATAAATACATTTTACCCATGTTTATTATTATTTTAGTTTTTTTTTAATTTCATTTTTACATATTTTTATATTATTTAATCAATAAAAATATTAATTTCTTGAAAATACTTTGATGATATTCTTATTTTAGTTTCTTAATGGGGCCTTTAAAGTTAAAACCCCAATATTATTCTCTTCCTTCTCAAAAGTTCTCAATTAGATTTTTCAGTTGTTGAGAATAAAACACCATTAGAATTTTAGAGCTATTTACAAATCAGATGTCTGATTTTTTTTTTTTAATTCTTTAAACGTGTGATCTTTTAGATTACACCTATTTAATGGTGGGCCCAGATCTTCTATACATGAAACACATGGCGATTGAAGGGAGGACACGAGCATCCTAAAGTCAGCTCTAATCCTTAATATTATCTTGTCGTCTACTATTGCTACATCTGCTTTTAAATAATATCAATAATTATTCCAATCCAACAGATTTATTTGAGCTAATGAAACTAATAATTTATTAGTAATAACATGTCAGGAATTATACAATGTGTGTTACTGACAGTGAGTACACCGTTTGCTGAAATAACATTGGAGCCCACTTTTAAAGCACATAGACTTTGATCGAATCCCACGGCCAATAATTTTATCACCGATGGCTGGCCCCGTCCGTGTATACATTATCAGTGGACAGTGGCATCTTGTGGGTCCCACGCCCACCAATGGAGTAGCAAGCGGATTAGCGTAAGGCCATTTTGTGTGGTGAGATCACTGTAGAGTGTAGGGGTGTGTTCACTTCACGGTTGGGTTGGGCTACTTTTTTTTTTTTAAATCGAACCGGTAGTAAAACCGGTAATTATTGGTTTTTCGATTTTTTATATTTATAATACATAATATAAAAAAATTATATAAATATAATAAAAATTAAAAATATATATAAAATATTATATTTTAAATAATAAATAATATATTATATATTATATATTATAAATATATCTATCTATATCTATATAGCATTGCGGTCCACATCAGCATGCCTCTCCTTGCTCTATTACCCCCATCATGCCTTCTTCTTGACACTCTCTCCTCTCCACTTCCCACCACTCCCATTAAGCCATGTCACCAATCACCATTACCAACATAACTACCTAAAAATATTCATATAATTTCTCCCCTAAGGGATCTCCTCTAAGCCATTAGGAACTTATCATGTATCCCACTCACTAATTAATTCCTAAAATCTCTCTCCCCAATCTATATCCACTCTCTCTCATTTAAAATATTTATATTAATTAATCCAACCCATATTCAATGATATTAATTAGTGTTATTACCAAAAGAATAAATGCGGTTAGTAAATTACCAAAAATTAAATACTCTTATTAGTAGGGTTAGAAAATTACCAAAAATTAATAAATATTGTTATTAATTAACTCATCATGAATTTTTAAAGTATTTTAGGTAAATGTTGTTATATTCATGTTAATTAGCAACATTTTGTAAAAATTGAAAACTCTTTAACTAATTTTTATAAATTTGAGAATTATATTTAACAATTATCAAAAAAGTATAAAATTTTTACTTATTGTTATTGTTATAGTTAATAACCAAATTCAAATAGAGGAATAAAATATTATAATGTTGGAAAAATGAAATTATTAATTAATTTATATTGGAAAATAAAAGATAAATTAGTGTAATTTTGTTAGTAAACTACTTAATAAAAATAAATATTTAATAACAATTTTAAATAAATCTCCATAATTACAAAAATGTAATACATTTTTTTAAAAAATTCATAAAACTACATTTTCGTAAAATAACATTTTGGAAATTTTGGGAAAATTTATTACATTTGATAGATTTTGCAAAACTATTGAAAATTATGTAATTTTCATTGTAAATTATTAAACATAAATGATTATGGGAAATGGAAAACTATAATTTGAACCAATAATTACACAAATTATTAAGATAAATTAGTATAATATTGGAAAAAGAAATTATTGATTAGTTTATATTAGAAAATATAAGATAAATTAGTGTAATTCTGTAAGTATACCATTTAAAAGAAAATAAGTTATTTAATAACAATTTAAAAATAAACTTGAATAAATTTTCAAAATTACACAAATGTAATAAATTGTTCAAAATTTTTATAAAATTATATTTTTGAAAATTAAAGATAATTTAGTGCACTTTTAGAAATTTACCATGTGGTAGATACTCACTATATTCTTTTAATCATTTTTGTCCTCAGATTTAATATTGGGTTGACAAGGAGTGTTTGCCTTGCCTTGAACCTGCCTGACACTAGGGATGGAGTGGGGAAATTCGAGAATTCTTTATCCTTGATGAGGAGTGGGTGTCTTACCATGAATTGACCCAACAATAAGGACGAGGAAGGGGAATTTGAGGATTCCCCATCCCTAATGGGGAGTAGGTGCTTGCCTTGAACCCACTTGACAATGGGGATGGGGTAGTAATGGGGTAGAGTGTCTTGACTATAGGGCGGGGACAGGGATGGGGTGTCCCACCCCAAACCTGCCCCATTGCCATTCCTATATAATTGTTAATTATTAGTAAAATTAATAAAAATGTTACCATTTGTAATTATTTTTATTTATTTAAAGTCAATCAAAAAATAATAAAAATAATAACAATTATTAAAATTTTTACAAATGATTAATAAAGTTAAATTTATTAAAAAATATCTGTTCATATTAAATTAACAATAATTATTTTCTGTAAATCTGCATTAAATGAAAATGCAATTATTAAAATTTTAATATATTAACAATAACTTCAAATACTTTTAGTTAATTAACAACAAATTTTGATTATTAATTTATCAATTAATTATTAGTAAATAAAACGATTCAATCTTTTAGATTTTCCTGTGCATCGCACAGGTCCCACTAATATTTATATATAATACATATTTATTAATTTATAATATATGGATAATATATATATGAAATATATATATATATAATTCATTTTAAAATATATATATATATATATATATATATAATATGGGGCTAAACACCAGTTTTTATATTGATTAACGAAATTGAACTGATAACTTCAGTTTTTGAAAAATATTAAACCAAAACTGAATTAATCAGTTCAATTAACCAGATTTTTTTATTTTGGTCTCGTTGGGTCGATTTTTCTTGCTCACCCCTTAGAGTGTAGAGAATGCTGCCGCTACGGTAACAATCAAAACGACATTGTAAGGATTCGATCCCGTAGGCCTGGCATTTCGACTTTACTCTCTGCTTAATCAACCAATCTTGGGACCACAGAATCCGGACTCCAGTACAAAAAGCGACTGGAGGGTTGGAGGCACATTGCTTTATACTGTAGCAATAATATGTCCAGAGCATCAGATAAACTTAGGTCCCTTGTTGCGTACCGTCGATTAAGCATCACCATCCATAAGATCGACATGCAAGAGAGGGTCCCACGGTCCCACCTTCTAAAGGATCCACAAGTCTTTGGCACAAAAACCGACGTCTCTTACGTTCTTGCGTTCTGAACGTTACACAGTCAAAAGCGCCAACTGAATTATTATATAATAATAGTTAAAAAAGAGAAAAAAAAAGAAAAAAGAAAAGAAGGTTTTTATGTGAAGTCAACCAATCGGACGGCCAGGACGGGGGTAGTAGAGGAAAAATGAGCTACATGCGCTTGTTAGCGAAGGCCAGGCACAAGTTGAAATAGTGCAGAAAAGAAGAGGGAATACAGGAGGAGCACACGCACGGATCACGCATTTCCACGTGCCACGTCAGCTAAGCAGAGAAGCATCGGTAGGAGGATTGTTTATCCGGTTTTTCTATAAATATAACCCGTCGGAGAAGGTTCGTCCCTCAACTGGTTTCCCCTCAAAACCGCAAAAGTCCGCTTTGTTTAGATTTTCCCTCTCTCTCTCTGCCCTCTGTATTTCTACTAATTTCCTCCATCCATCTCCTTAACTGGTTCCTCCGTTTCTTCTCTCTCTCTCGTTGCCTTTAAACGACGCGATTGGATTCGCCATTGAAGTAGCTGGTGACAACAAAAGCTTTGAATTGTAGCAGAAGAGCAAGCAGAGCTGATCTCCTTGAGCCTGTCGGAATATCGGTATGTACCTTCAAATCCATTCTCCGGTTCTCGCTCGCCTATTCTTTTTGTTGTCTTTATCTCTGCCAAATTGTTTATTAATCTAAGATTTATACGGGTTTTTTTTTATCTATACAAAAAAGGATTTTTATTTCGTAGTATATGAAGTTTAGATCTTGTACCCGGTACCTTCCTTTTTTTCTTCTGGTTCTTCCGTGGATGATTTGGATCTTTCTTTCTCCCTTCTTCCCTATGTGGTGCTTCCACCCCCTTCCTCTCAGCTGAGAATGGAGAATAGCAAGATCTATCGGATCGCTTTGTTTTTGTCAGGGAGGAATTGCATAATGCAATTGCTCGTTTCGTGGGAAAAGGGTGGTTTGGTGGCCCTAAATCGACAGGTGTAAGCGATTCATTGAGAGAATCATATAACTCGGGCTTCATATGATTCATTACTAATTCATCGAGTGGATTTTCAACGAGAAATTTATTAGACACGATACTTGGCGTAAGGCTTCTCTTTTTCTCTAAAATAGATCTTCTCTGAGACGTTTCGTTCTCTATCAAATAGATGTCACTAGTCCGAGTTATCGGAACTCATTGCACGCTGGAATTTCAGGCGTAAGAGCCGGATTCCTGGTTAATTCCTATAGAACATGTGTGTAAAACACTGAAAGCGTTGCTCCTGAGTTGATCATTCGGTGGGAAGCTTGGCGTTCTCTGTCTCAATTTGTGATTTTGCACTCCCGATCTGTAAAATCGCCACTGTCCGTTCATCTGGTTACATTGGTTGTCATCTTTTTACATCTGGAGGACATTATTTATCCATAATAGCTCGATTAGAAGAATTCCATTACGCAATAACAAAACTTATCTCCCACCAAGTTCTCTGTCGGTCTGTCTCCCTCTGGACTTTTTTTCCCTTTTTTTTCAGGATTTTCAGGCCTGGATGCAGCCGTAAAGAAGTGTCTGTACGTTGTCGGTTCTCCTTGTTCTTCTTAGTTCTTAATCAACTATTTCTATTTTATTTTTCCATTACTGGTCAGAAACCTTGATCTTCCCAATCTAAAAGAGAAACCGGTTTCGGCATCTTTTTCTTGTCTCGATCTTCAGTCTTTCTCTGACACAACTCAAAACCTTGCCTCGTCTTTCGTTCTAACAATTAACCTCGATAGCCAGTCCATATGTTGTTATCTCCTTGGCCATTCTTATACTGATAGTCCTCGAAAGAAGAATACCTGCAGCTGCAAATAATTGCTGCACCGAGTCGGCTCGGACGATCTGTAAAGACTCGGGACGGGTCCTTAGAACAGGATGATTTCTGTTTTCCTTTATTTATTTCCAACTTGTCTGTGGAATCAAAACACTTTGCCCTATAACCACCGAAGCGTCTAAGGCTCATCTCTCATCATCCTTTGATTCATTCTTTCCCCTTAAATCCTTCTTTCGTTCTTGGATTCTATTCCAAAGAAAAAAAAATCGTTAACTCAAGATTGAGAGATGTAAAGAATGGTAAAGTCAAGGGTCTCTAACTTATTTTTTTGTTCACACACCAGTAGGTGGCCAAATCCCCACCCGGTTTACCTTAAATTAAAGCCCATAGTTTATTATTTATTAGTTATAAATTGGATCTCCGATCTCATCCTTTTATCAGGAAGTTTCATGCATGGCCCCCACCTAAGGATTGAACGTCAAGATACCAACTAGATGCCTGTCATCAGATCAGATCAAGGGATTAATATTCTATGGGATGATGATATTTTCCATCCTTGGGGGGTCTCTGCAAGTTAGAATCTATGGATGAATTATTAAGTAAGAATGGAAATTTCCACTGTTAACTGCTAAAAGGAATGGTCGTTTTCTTTTTCATTTTCTTCTTTTTTTTTTTTGCTATAATTTAGAGGAGGGGGGGAGAAGAAGAGAGGTAGCTTTTCATGTAAACCTGTTATTTCTGTATGTAACACTTTTTTTTCACTTTCTCAAATATTTGATTGGCGATTCTTTTAACACTAACACATACAGAGGAAGAATAAAGAGAGGAAACCAACACTATAGTATCTAGATATTCCTAGACCCCCTACTTGGGAAGGTAAGAGCATTAAAATTTACCTAGTATCTTTTAATCTCTTGTAATTAGGTTGTTTTTTTAGTTGAGATTTTAATGAATACCAATAAATGAAAGTTGAGACAAATTTCTTAAGCTAAAATCACAAAAGAAATAGGAGAATAAGTTCTTGTGGGTCCTGACATTATGTGGTCTTTGTAGTTTGTACGAGTTGTCGTCTTTCGTCACTCATTTAATTGGGAACCCTTGGCCTACAAGTATTGATGCTGGGGCTTATGCGCCAATATTATAGTTTTGAGCTTCCCTTTGCTTTTTAGCTCCTTTTTTAGGTGAATGTTTCAGAGAAATAACCAATTAGACAAATTTGTCTGGTTCTATGCTTTTGGTTGGTTCCAGGCTCCAGCCATGCATGATTGGAAAGTTTGTCTGGTTGCTGGCACATTAAGAGGACGTGGAATAGTCGTAACCTAAGGATGTTGGATGAAGAAAATATTTACCTTGAAATCCTGATGCCCTCTTATCTTTATTATTATTTATTCTAACACAATGAATAAAAAAGATAAAGAGACCGATAAGTACGGGATTCATATCTTTTGTATTTCTGATGCTTGTCTCTGAGTTTGGAGTTTCCATTAGCTTTTGTCTATACTCACTTTATCTTAAATTCATTTGGATTTTGAATGTTACAAGGATTCGGATTCTTTCTATAAATATGTCATTGTTAACCCCATCTCCCCTGGAGTCTGGACCAATACTTAAGATGAATTGATAATTACCGAGACCAAGTATTCGTGGCTGGCAGACATGGGCCTCTCCCTTCCCATCCTTCAGTAACTTGTCGTGTTGTAGAGTGTAGACAGTGTTGAGGGGAGGGCTCTTATCTTATAGAATTCTAGTTTTATCCATAGAGCCATCCATTAGCCTGATGAATGATGATGGAACATTAATTAGTGACACCATCGTCCACTAAGCCAATCCTTAAAGATTATTCCCCCATTTACAGCTATAATTGGCAACCCATGCCCAGTGAATTGACTCATACATGGAAAAGGCTCAGCTTCAGCTCAGGAGTAACCTTCTTCTTTCCCATTTTTGTGATACTCAGGACTCGTCGGCGGCAGCAAGTAAAGAGAAAAGGTGCAAATGGCCATAGAGCAATACTTCCACGAAGTGGACGGAGATGAATCGCCACCGCGCAAGTGGACAACGGTCTCAAATACTGCGACAGAGTCGGACACTGCCGGCGGCTCCTTCGACTGCAATATCTGCCTAGACTTCGCTCTGGAGCCGGTGGTGACGCTCTGCGGCCATCTCTACTGCTGGCCGTGCATTTACAAGTGGATTCATTTACAGCGTGCAAGTGCTTCGACGGGCCTAGAACAGCAGCAACCACAGTGCCCCGTCTGTAAGGCCGATATCTCCCACAAAACCCTGGTTCCCCTTTACGGACGAGGCCAAACCCCCACCACACAAACGGAACCCAAAGCCAAAGGGCTACACGCAGGTCTCGAGATACCGCGGAGGCCCCCTGCATGTGGGGTTCACGCCCTGATAGCTACTACCACAACGTCAGCCACATCACACTCGCATTCACATTCACATGGTGATCCGCAACCTAATCCTCACCATGGCCACTCACAGTCACTGTCTGGGGCGTTTCAGCATCATCAGCAATACTCTCCATATCAGTACAGAAATTACACAGCAGCATCCCCACTGTTAAATCTTGGGGGCACCACCATTACTAGCATCTTCTATCCAATGGTTGGGATGTTTGGAGAGATGGTCTTTGCTAGAGTTTTTGGTAATTCCCAAACAAGCCTATATGCATATCCCAATTCCCAGTATCTTGTAGGAGGTAGTGGTTCTCCCAATCCCACCCCCAGGATGAGACGGCAAGAGATGCAAATTGACAAGTCGCTTAACAGAATCTCCATCTTCCTCTTCTGTTGCCTTGTCCTCTGCCTTCTCTTGTTCTGAGAATCCACTTTTCTTTTTTCGGCTCCTTCTCATTGTATACTTGTAAAAATCCGGGATATAAGCTTGTGAACCATACATGTAGATCAGAATATATACTATATTATATATAAAGTAAGCTTGGAATTCCAAAGTGGGTTTGGCCACATTCCCAAACGCCCACATCATATTTCCTTTACTTGGGCAAAATTAGTGTGTTATTTGCTCTGGTCCTTCGAAGCCTAATACGACAGGCTTTGGGATAACACATTCCATTAAGGAGTTCTGGCTGAGCGCAATTCTGTATATGCAATAAACCTCCAACAACCTGATATAGACTACATTATTTATTTGCTTCTGTGTGAATTACTTCGAAACCACTAATGTCCTAAATAGCTTTTCTTAATAGTTAATCGGAAGCTCTCTGTTTGGCTTATAAATTTGCAAATTTTGGTTGTAATGCTTTTAGGTTTATACTTTTTGAATGACTTGATATAATGAATCAGCCCAAAGGGAAAATTTAATCGGAAGCTTGGTGGGTATTCCCTGATCTTATACATCTTAATTTGTTATTGATTGCACTCCAATGAGTTGGTTGTCATCCTTTTCCATCACAGTCCAGTCGTTGGGCACAGCATGAGTAATAATTATTTCATTATATGTCTAAATCTGCCCCAAATTAATAAATGATGATGGTGATAGCCTGATAGCTACGGATTTACCTTTTGGGGGACTTCATTGCCAAGGCTTGCAATGCAAATAAATTTGTACTGATGTAACAGTGCAAATGATTTGAGTATAAATTCTGATTTATTTTTGTTTTAAATTTTAGCTTATTTTGTTTGATTGTAGTATAAATTAAGTAAATTAAGACATGAAACAGAATAAAGTAAAATTCAAAACAAAATTAAACAAAAATTTATATTTTTTTACATTTACACCCCTATGTATTTGTACTAGTGCAAATAAATTTGCACTACAACTAAACATAGCCTAAATAATTATTATACTACCATTTTGGTGCATGATTGTAGGACTACAAATAAATCGGATCGAAGTAGGATATCTCCAAATTTGATTCAATTTGAGAGATTTGAAATCATTTCATATACCACGGATATCTAAAGCTGTGATTCAAATTCGATTTGCTTGCATTCCGGATATCCAATTTGAGTCCAATTCAATTGGAATAGTGGGAAATTTATGTAGGATTAGTATAAACCCAAAAAAATAAGTGGTTATGAAATATGATGATCAGATCCGAGTAAACAAATGGATCCTATTTTCAAATCCGATTATGATTTAAATGGATACCCAAATCGGCTCCAAGTTGCTTATTTGTATTTGTTTTGCCTCACTAATCTTCAAGACCGGATTTACTACTCACATAGTGCTTCTCAAACCAACCTCACAATACATTCATCCGTGCATTACAAATATCTTTATACATGTATTTTGTCATTTATGAATAGGGGTGGCTACGAGCCGAGCTTTTCACGAGCTATTCGAGATTGACTCGGATCGGTTTAAATCGAGCTCGGGTCTGATAAATAGGCTCGTTTGCTAATCGAGCCGAGCTCGACTCATGAGGCTAACGAGCCTAGTATAATAAATAATTTTTATACATACATACATACATACATATGTATATAAATATAAATATATATATATATATATAATAAATCATTTTTATTATATATAATAATATTTTTATTTTTTATGTATAATAGTAAAGAATTTTTATAATTATTGTTTGTATGTATAATAATAATCATTTTTTTATAATTCTTAATTTTTTGTATGTAACATAAAAAAATATGTTTATATGTATAATTTTTACTTTTTAGAAAAAATTTAGCTTACAATTGAACTCAAGCTGAACTTGAACTTGTAAGTTTTTAAAGTGAGCCAAGTTCAAGCTCAAGCCTAAAATTATTTTTGCGAGCTGAGCTCAAATAACCAAGCATTCTACTTGGCTCGGGTCAAATCCACCTATATTCATGAATCAATACACCGTTGCAATGTATTGTAAGGATGATATGAGTAACAAATCCGAATTGCTAATTTCGTTAATGCTCATGGCACCTTTTATTCAAATTAGGCAATGAAGCCAATCTACAATATTTCCCTTTTAATGCCAGCAGATTTTTTAGGTCACGTCCAATATCGATCCAAGTCAGAGCAAGTGGCATATTCTTTCCATTGTCAAATTGAGATGTCGTTATCAATTAAAGGTTAAGCAAGGCTTTAAAGCTAAGGGTGGAGAAAATGTGACTAGGCCCAAGGTTCAAAATATTTTCTTTTTCAGTCTGATATTTTACAAATAGGTATATTAGGATTGACATTAACAATTAAAATTATTAAAATGCCTTAATTCTCAGTATTTATCATTTTGCCGACCCTTCATGTTAACATGATATGTATAGATACTTTGAACCTTGATTGAGTCTAAAATGTTCCAGTATAGAGACCTCAAAGACATGATATTAGGAGAGCCTTGACCCATTGAAACCTCTTCCATGAATTTTAACAAATATCAATTGATTGGTTTCCACTTTTATGATATTGGTTGATTGATTATAAGTTTTTCGGTATCATAGTTAAACCTATATATAAATATATGTTTTTAAAATTTTATAAATTTATTAGGGTTATTTATTAGAACACCCCTTATAGTTTCACAGATTTAATTAAACCTACCCCATAATCTGTATTTTACTAAAATACCACTTATAGTTTGCAACAAATTTACTTAATTAACCTTTTATTAAGAAGTATTTGTTTTGCCATATGAAAATAGTAACATGATTACCTAAACTAAGAGGAAAATGTTTAAGGGCATGGACCCATAGTTGTTTATTCCAAAAATACCCTTAAACTAAGTAGTTAATGTTCAAGGGTATGGATCCATGTTTTATTCCAAAAGTACCCCCTAACACTTTTTTGTATAGAAAACAAAATTAACCAATTGAAAAAAAAATAGAGTGATTTTTTATGTTTTATTAGGGGCAAAAATGGTATTTTTGTTTTTAGTTCCTTTTGATTATAAGAAATACATGTTTTAATAAAACACAAACTATAGGATATGTTTTAATAAATTCATAAAATTATAGGGAGTATTTTAGTAAATGACCCTATTTATTACTAATAAAGGCCGATAGAATAACTATGTTTTTCTTTGTAGTAAAGTAACACCACAACTATGCTTATACTTAAGGCTGTCTTTGGATCATAAGTAGCTTCTATCAAATATAGAGAATAGAGAAAATCTATCATATGTCAAACTGAGCAATAGATGATTCACACCCAAATCTAAGCACCCAGACCCATAAAATATTTTTTTTTTGGTAAAAACAAATAGAATATATGGTCCATTTTGGGTCCACAAAAATATTGCGTATAAGTTATGTTTCCATGAATCTTATCCAGATACATGACACATATAATTTGGGTGTGGAATCCCTTCAGATCTTAATGACTCTATAAAAGATAATCTTTTATACATTAATACATTACCAGTGTAAGAACATTAATCATATATGATATTTAGATTTTTAACTTTTATAATCAGTATGGTTATATAATAATAAAATAGATATTTACATATTTATCAATACATTTGGTGGCGATTGAGGACATTTTTAATCTAATATAGCTTAGAAGTATTATCTTTATGTCATTATGTGTATTAAGAATTAACAAATATTGAAAATAGAGTGGGTTTATATTCATATCTGACCCATATGGATGCATTTAAATGGTCCTATCTGGCTTTAGTTACATCAGAATGTCAGAATGGAATAGTGAAGAATCCTGGCATCTGATAAGACCTAAAACGTTTTGATTTGAACTTGGATTTATCTGGACCTGCTCTGAATCTGACCAGTTGCATGCCAAAGTTTTTGCTTTGAAAAATATGTTTTTATTTAAAATCATACTATATATCTCATCATCTTTCATAAATCATACAAACCATCATGTTTAAAAAAAAAATAACTTATTGTTTCTCAGAACAAAAAGACAGTTCAAGCACATGTTTTCGTTTTTCATTCGCAATTTCAACATACAATCAAAACAGAAAACATTCACTATGTAGAATCGGAATTTGGGCCATGATTTGACTCCATGGCTCAATTTGGAAGTGATGAGGGGTGATTTGGTCCGACCTAGTAAAGAGGGGACACGTGAATACGATCTGACCAAGAGATGACAACTCAGCTTAACGTAACCAGTCCGCAGCAGATCGAGCTCGGGTACCCAACCACCCCGAGCTAAAGTGACCTCGAGACAAGGCCACCTCGAGACGAGATTGCCTCGGTACCAGATCACAACAAGAACACCTCGATGCCAAGGAGATTCGGCACTTAACCCAGTTCGGAACTTAAAGATATCAGTTCGGGGATACCAACATGCAATTACGTGGTGATCCCGAAAACCCCTCCAACGGATCCGGGCCTCACGGGATCACGCCGCGTAACAGCTACCATTATCTCCCCGCCCGATTAGGACGGAATTGATGAAATGATGATCTCGGAACCGACCCGAAAAACCCGCAAGGACTCCATTATATAAAGACTCCACCCCCGGTGGTTCAAGGTACACGTGATTTCTATGCACTCTAGTTCTCTGCATTCTTAAACTATATCAGCTCGCAACAAGTATACTAACTTAAGCATCGGAGGACCTCGTCGGATTAACAACCCCAAGTTCTCTAATCCTACTCTTGCGAATCAACTTAATCCGTCGATCGCCTGTAAGTCAAATCACCACCAGTAGGGAGCAGCTAGTTCGCACAGCATCAGGAAGGAATACAAATATAAATATATACAATATAAATACATATAAAATAATACAATTTTTTGTACTGTATTTATTTGCATTTGTACAAATTGTACTCCTTCCAAACTGAGCCCATGTAAAATGAAATCATGGTAGGGTAGTTGTTACATCGGGCCTCTTTTGCACTCTCCACCCATAATATAACACAGTCAGGTAATGGTTTATAATAAATAGAAAAAGAGCTGGAATCGAATAGTGATTCAGCCCATAGATTTGTAGAGGAGAACCACTTCTCACATTCACCCAGAGAGGAGAAACAGAATTGACAGAAAAGGAAAAGGAAAAAGAGACTATGACCCCTTTTAACCATATCCTTGTTACTAGTCATGTTTGCCATGTGATGTAAGGTTTATCTACTTGTCTTTTAAGTCCGTGAAATTTATGGTACAAAGCTTGGCCCCCATGGTTTCAACTTTCTACACAGAAATGCTTTATTGTCAGACACTCAGAAATAACTTGCTTTCTTTTCTTCTATTTTATGCATAGCAATCCTAATTGATAGCTTCAGCCTTGAGCAATTTTTTAGGGTCTTTCATATGGGTATGGGTGTCGTCCATGCCCATATTTGCATGAATGGGCATTATTAAGGTGGAATTTGGGAGTGATTGTTTTAATAATTGTTCATGAGTACTGTTTGGTGAAAAGTACTTATTTCAAATAGGGGTAATATAGGCATTTTCAAAATAACATAACAGGCCAAGGCGGACCAGAAAGGAAATAAGCACTTAAAAATAAGTTTAAAATGTGGGCTTCTAGAAATACTTATTTTTTAAATGCAAATAAGTGAATATTGGTGTGGTTTTGGTCCAAAATTAGGAATAAGCATTCCTAACCTTAGCTTAAGAACACCCCCTTACAACAGTGTAACCAATAAATAATTTGCTCTTACCGGTATCTAGACAACATCAGAAAGAAAAATAAACGGTTCATTACTGCTCAGTTTGAAAATAATACAAATGCAAATATGTATAGCATAAATACATATAAAATATAAGGTTTTACACTCTATATATTTGCATTTGTACTCCTTCCAAACAGAGCCTACAAGACATTTGGTGAAGCGCAGCGGCTGAAAAGACCATTTGCGAGTGCTGAAGCACAGTGCCCTCTGGTTTTTCAAGGTGGGTCTCACACAGACATCCTATAAGCTATAAGCTATGTTTGGTAAAAATTAGACAGTCTGCTTCTCTGTCTCTTTAAATAACTTATCTGGAGGACTTCGAATATCTGAATCAGCTGAGGTGAATCTTCAGCTTACCCTAAAGTAGAGCAAATTTTTTGCTTGGCCCCAAAGCAAAGCCTGGCCCTGCCTGCAAATTTTCAGGCTCTGACCTAGATTTGCATCTGGGCCTTATATTTCGAGCCCAGGTTCAGACTATGCCCCTGGCCCATGATCACCATCACCCCTAGAAGCAGGGCTCTCTCTAAGATAGAATTTGGACAAAACAAGCTAATTGGCTAGAAAATTCGAATAGAAAAATTTTGAGAAAGAGACAACCTTCTCAACATAAGCTAAATTACTGCACTTAGGAAGCTTCTAATTCCCTAACGCAAAACATCATGAAATGAAATGAAGGCTCGCCCACCAGTTTACACTCTGAACACGTTTTGTCTCCTCCCAAGAAATCCAGGGGCCAAGAATCATGCGCTCCAATTTATCTTTCTTTTCCAATGTCTGATCTTTCTTGTACAGAGGTCCCTCACCAACGTTAAAGGGTGCCATTTTTCAATTCATAATTAGCTTTTCTTTTGGCGTATTCCTCATGTATGGTTGGTTATTTTCATGACAATGAGATTGCAATCTTTATCCATTTCTCTGATTTTCTTCGGTTTGTTTGTTTGTTGGTATATCGTAGAAGGTAAATTAGTTTATTGGGTAATTTAAATACATAATTCAAGTATTTTTTTTTTTTTAACCGGAATCAATTATCTGGATAAATACATTATTCCCGTACCAAAAAACAGATGAGGCCTAAGGTCAGAATCAGATGTGAGTACAATGGCCCATTTAATCCTTCCATAATTCGATCAAATAGGAATCCTCCAAAATTCACAATGTTCAACACTTGTAAAGTAGTTCTGAGAATCAACAATAGGACTTGTCTAATTTAATTGGAATCAACCTTTGGTAAACCTCATATTGTACATATCTATATTTTAAATTCACAGGGATGAATTAGGGGAAACTCTGGGAAGTCATGTCTGCTTATGCTCCAGAATCTCTCCACTTATGTAATATAGATGATTGTAAGGTTTTTAAAATCAGTTCGGATAGGGATTTGTTCGTTCTGGGGATTAGTTCACGGTTCAACCATTCAGTTGGAACAGATAATTCATTCTGACTTAAATAAAAAACAGTCAAAAATTATTGTTCGGATCGACGGTTCAATCACCCAAATCAAAAGGCTTTTGACTAAATCAACACAATTTTAGGGTGAAATGAAACCGATTATCTAACCGGTTCTTGATTTTCCCGGTCCAACTGTCCAATCCCGTTTTGAAAAACATGGATGATTGACCTCCATCCTTATTTATCCCTTCCCCATCCATGTAAAAACTTTTTTTTTTCGACTGACTCCGCTCCTGAACCTTGGATTGGAAAGTTCGCATGATCTTGATGGACAAATTATCTAGTTCATCGGTTTTGTTTGCTTCTTAAAAGATTCCAGTTTAATAGGTGAACTCACTGAAATTAGGTCCAGTCGGGCGTTTACACGTGGAGAAACCAGGCAGCTCCATGAATCCTGTCTCATCATTTTATTATGTTTAATGTTATGTTGGTTGTTAAATTATGAGTGGTTAAACCATTTATTTGCAAGTATGATTTTACAAAATCTCGCTAGCTAGTTGGTGTTGGGACTGTTGGCCATGCTTGGAGTGGGCTCTTTCAAAGAGAAGTGGATTAACATTTCCTTTCCCTCACGTAACAATCTCTTTGCCACTTGGGCCACGGATGACACAAGGGACCCTCGGGCTTTCACACATTTTCGTTATTGGTCAATAGGAATTTGCCAAAAAAATCGATCAGTAGGAAAGAAAAGTTGGTTTTGAGTTTTTGTTTTTAAGTGAACATTTAATTTATATGGAAAGAGGTAGGGCTGCTGTAAACTAATGTTTTAAAAACTGACCCGGATGTCGAACCGTATTTGCCCCCGGGTCGTGGGTCATCGGTTCAACCGGTCAGTTCAAATGGTTTAGACCGTACTATGTCATTATATATATATATAATTAAAAATTGCAATTTAAGGCCAAAAAAAGTTTTTTTTTTTTTTTTGCGAAAAATAGTGGTGTAAGGTGCCTACGGCTCCTTGGGACTCATAGATCTCAAAAAGTTACTCAAAATTAAATAAAAAAAAAAAACACCCCAATGGGACATCAGAGTACAAAGTTATGGTCTCCAAAAGTTTGCATACATTGAATTTGCAACCCGTGACCCGGTAACCGGGTTGAATGGATCAATGATTGAACCGTCCGAGTCGAACGGTTCTTAACTAAGTCAACAGTTTTGACTGTTTGATGGGTTTTGACTAAACTCGACCTAGAATCTTAGCTAGGTGACGGTTCGACCGACCGGGTCAATGACATTGAAAACACTATTGTAAACAGTATCCGATTGTCCAATTCAAATTTTAATTGGATCCATTTATAATTTGATCAAATATGGATTCACCATCCCTATCCAATTGTTATTTTTATTAAATTGTCAAAGGTTCAAGTTTCATACAACTAATTTTATTATTAAAGTTATTTTAGTTCATTTTATTAATAATATATAAAATGTTGATCCCGTTTTGATTAATTTATTTATACTATTCAATATTCAATTGTAATCTGAGTTCAATTTGAGTCTAATGTAAAAGATCTTATTCAAATTTGGATCTACCCATATCCAAATCAATTTAATACATTTGCAACTCTACAAAAACGGAGGCCAACGTCCTTCACCTTGATGCTCAAATATATCTCCTCTTCCTCTCATTTTCATACATGTAGTTTTTTATTTTTAATTAAATTATTAAAAATATCAGAAGTTACAATAAAATTCCTCTTAGAGTTAGATCTTAATTTTCTCTTATAAAATCTATCATTACTCCCCCTCCCCCAAAAAAATCAATGAAAAGAAAATTTGCTCCGTCCTGGATGTACATACTTCCTCCCTTCAACAGTGGATGACAAGGTTATGGCTCTTTGTTTTGTTGAAAATTTTTGAACATTGATAAGGTGTTATCATCCGCTATGAAGATGTGGAAGTATGTCCAGGATGAGTTCAGCCTTTACAGTCTTTGCATTGAGAATATCTCCATACTTATGTGCTTTATTTCATGGAGAGATATCCCCAATGCAAGGTTGCAAATGGCGATTGGAACGGTGTGGGCACAGGCTTGCCCTGAGAGAAGCCAATCTCGTCCAGGATGGAGCCAAATAAATCTCAATATGAATGTTTGTAACATCACTCCTTTCCGATCCCTACTTTTCTTTTAAATCTCTTTAAAAGTCTTTTGACTCTTTCTAATAAAACAGAGTATAAATTAAATGATTGGATTGGGTTATGGGCCAACTCTAGAACAACTTGAAAAAGGAACTTGGCCTTATCCAAATTGAAGTCAAAACTCAAAATTCCAAGTTGCCAAGCCAAACTCGATCAAATCCCTATCCAACCTCATACATTGCATGGGTTTACTTGCTAATTCAAAGATAATATGACCAGTATTTCTCTGTTTTTGTTTGAGAACAGATTGCGAAAGAGTGAATTGAAGTGCGACTCATACCTGTTTGCTAGGAGTCGGAGCTTCTTTTCAAAATGTAGGAACACGTTCTTCCTTGGGAAAGCTCACTAGATCACCGGGTTGTCAACTGAATACCAGATTGATTATAAGCACTCAATTGTAATAGTCATATTGAACATTATACCTTTATCACGGTTCTGTCTAACAATGGTCATATGTATTCGCCAAGCCATCACCATCATTCATCATCACCTTATCTTATATGGGGTCAGCTACATGAATCTATTTTCCCCATTCCATCATTAAATATGGATGCATCTACATTCACCACCAACTGCATTACTTGAGTCTTGATCCAGAGATGCGCACACCTTCAGATTCAGCTACTGTGGTAGATCCTGAACCTCTTTGCACTTCTGCCTACTCCAGACTCCAGAGCGAATTTGGGTTAATTGGACGCAATGGCTCTTCAGCTAGCTGTGGAACCAATGATAATGCCCCACACCAGTGATAGAAATATGTGAGACCCACGGTGAAAAGTTAGATGGGTTGTTGGTCATCATGGGTTCCACAGCCCACTGAGCTATTGCACTCAGCTAATCCTTTCTCCTAGGGAGCATAGATTGGGTTCTTCTAACCTGGTTTCCACACCTCAACTGAGCAAAATGACAAACTATAATACTAGAATCACTATCATTAACAATGGATTAATTGTTAAATAGAAGAATACATATCAAAGATAAATGCTTCAGTACATATCAAGGATTCTAAAAACTTTAGGTAATAGTTACTATCTCAATGATACATCATACATTCTAAACCACCCTGAACCTATTATTGATTTTAACAAATCAGTTTCGCTTTGAAGACAATTGTGACCGTCAAATTGAGGGCTATATGCAAAATTACTTTGACCTTACAGGGTAATCACTTTGTCTTAGAACATGACTTCGTAAAACACAGCAGGGTGATTTTCTGTAGGATGCCCATTCTTCAAAGTAAGCTTGTCCCTCCCAAGATGCAAAATTATGAGCCTTGGGTTGTCTGGAAGATGCTTCAATTGTCAAATTAACTGCAACATTCCACCCTTGGGTTCATCACTCCCTGCCTTCCCTCATCATCACCAAAAGCATCCTCACCAATCTGGTCAAGTATGTTCATATCTGGATTTCCATTTTCTATGTAATTCAGCAACCTATCACACACATCTGTTGAGAAATGACCCGAGTTGCCAAGTAACCTAATTAACTTTCTTGCTCCTTCAACGTCTCTCTGTTCTTTGTAATATTCCAGACAACCAGCCAGAGTGGCATGGTTTGGCCTCCATCCAGGCCGGCTTGCCATGATTGCCTTTTTTAGTGTCTCCACTGCATTTAGAATCTGATTGTTCTCATAATACCCAGATGCCAAAAGATCCCAAGTACTTGATAGTGGCTTCTTCCCTTTCTCTATGGCCTTGCTTATAATTGCTTCAGCCTTCTCTAGAAGACCCTTTTTGCAATAAGCAGATATAAGCCTATTTGGAACCCGGAAGTCATAGGAAGTACCCCCCAATTCCCATTCCCCAAAGATCTTCTCGGCACCCTCAATATCATCCAACTTCACCAATGAACTTAACATGCAGATATAAGTTGAATTGTATATCTTTTCCGAAGCCTTGTAGGTATTCCAGATCCTGTACAATTCGTCCTTTTTCCCTATGCCAGCATACATTGTGAGAAGATAATCAACTGCCACCCTCCTTTGTCTACCAGTGATCAATGCCTCAGACTTTTTCAGCATTGTCAATGCCTTGTCTGTTAGCCCAGCTTTCATGTAACCATTTGCCATGAGAAAATATGCATTCCAATCCACAATAATACTAGGATCAGCTTCCATCCTTGTCAAAATCTTCTCCATTCCATCAACATCAGCAGCTGCTGAATATGCACTCATCCTGATGCTTAATGTGAACTTGTCATGGCCGATGCCCCTGTCTTCCATTTCTTGCATCAGGGGGTCCAGTTTCTCATGCTGTCCCATTTGAGAGTAGAGGTTTAGCATTACGTTGTAAGTCAGTACTGTCTTTGCAAACCCTAATTCTTTCATCTTCTGAAAGAGGGCCTCTGCTTTGTCAACAGATTTCTCATGTGTATAGCAGTTAAGTAGAGCACCGTAGGTCTGGAAGACTCTTAATTGTGTTGGAATATAATCAAAATACTTCTCTGCTTCTCCTAGGCCATGAACTTTTGTGATCAAGTCCAGCCTAATCGCAGCATCGCCTGCTGATAGGTCAAAGTACCTTTGATCGGTCATCCACTGTGATATCTACGAACAAACATCATAATTTGGGATCAGGATTTTGTGTTCTGGCAATTATTAAGGTTAACTATTGATTAAAAAAATGATCCCGGTGAATAAGATCAATCACAATATTATTTCTCCTACATCTTTCCATGGCAAGTTAAAAACTTACCATATAATCATATGCTAAAAAAGAAACAATGAGAACCAGAAAACCCACCCTTATCACAGGGTTGTGCTGGCATAAGGATACAATGAAGCGTGAGCATATTAAAACCTCTATGTGTTTTTTAGATAAGAAGAAAAGGTAAATAAAAACAATAACAGAAACAGATCACCTGAAGGAGTCTCCTTTTATACCCTGCCTATGTGTCAAAACTCAGGTGTATTGCAATCTTCTTTTTAGGCAATCAAAATATTGCAATCTCAGATGTAGCAAATTAGTTCCAGAAATTGTACCCATCTCACCCTTTTTTGAGAGTCCCTAAGGTTAATTCCAATCAACCGAAAAAAGGACTGCTTTCAACTTCTCTTCAGTGATTTCAACAATGGGAAGAGGCAGGGTACCAAGCCAATTTGAGCAGTCCACCATGTTCACAGGCTCACAGCTAAAGAAGTTAGAACATTAGCTGCTTTATTACTACTTCTGGGGGTGACATGGATGAGTAATGCTTGGACAGGCTTCTGCATTGGGCGAAAGTGTGACAATGCACCACCGAGGTGAATACGATCAAGAAAAAATGCACCATCGAGGTGAAGTATGATCCTCCAACAGAAGTCTTCGCAGCTTTTGTTTGGCCCATGATACAACCCATAAACTGTAGCTTTTAAAATAATTTTAAATCGTTTCTTATCCATTTAAGTTCTATCGCACAGGGTAGAGACTAGAGAGAGCAATATTTCTTAGAGGTGGTTAAATCGAGCATCAATTAACCCTCGGTTTTCCATGATCAATAAAAGTCAGGGAAAATGTTTTCCCATGACATCGAAGCAATGAACGGACAGAAGTGGGGGGAGGAGGAATGAAAACCAATAGAGGAAGAGATTGAAGTACCTCGAGAGCATGTTTGTATCGTCTGTAATGTCTAAGCCGCTTGATTATCCTTTGAAGATAGTCCCTGGTAAAAGTTTTTCCTTCTTTGATCCATTGATCGAGCACTGGAACTATCGAATCCCTTGGATCTCCGGCCGGCGAAATTCTCCGGTATAATGTGTCGTTCGACTTGTAAGATATTATTCCATCGGTCGAGTAGAATAAAACCCTAAACACCCTCGAAACGACAGATTGTGAACCGAATTCGAAGCGTATAAGCGCCATCACTCATCAGTTTGCTCGACGCGCAGAGAGGAATAGGATGACAGCATTTAGGGTTTAGGGTTTATGCAAATAAGTTGGGGAGTGTTTACCCACTAAGCTTTTATTAATGTTTGGTGAAAAACTAATAATTTATGTTTACATATAATGAAAACCCGGATAAATATAATGACCACAAAAAACATTAATAAGCGCCACCAGTGATTCAGACCTTCCTTTATCGTTTAGTTGATTGGGTAATTCTCAGACTATCTTTTTAAGTTTTCTAACAATTGTCGTTACCGTTAATATTTCGTCCCATATAACATTATATCATTGATATATTTTTCAAAAATTTCTAAAATACCTTCTCGTTTAAGTCTGCTCTCTCCATATCCATGGCCATTCAGAGATATATCTAAAATCTTCATTTATGGACCTATCGTCTTAAAATGCCAGCATGCTAATGGGTCATTTTATTCTAGCCTTCCAAGTTCTATCATCAAGAAGAAAAAAGCCTTTCTCTAAATCCAATCTTTAAAAAAATAGAGAAGTATGGATACATCCAATGTTGATTTTTTATTCTCATTATACAATTATAAACATTTAAAACGTCAGAAAAAACACATCTTATGCATTTATACCTGCCCGTGAATTGGCATCAATTCTAAGCCGGCACCTATGTACTTTGAACCTACAAATTCTGACATTAGAGTTAAGAATTACATTGATTGATGGTTAAGAATCAAATCATCAACTCATTCATTAGTCACTTTCGGGACACGCCTCACTTGATATTATTCATCAACAATTCAGCGTGCACATTAGATCAAAAGGGCATAGTTGCAACGCAATTCTCCTCTATTGTGAAATAAACCCCGCAAAACTGAAGCCTAATTTTATTCATAAACAATCTGAAACTCATATGACCAACAACAAAACCCTAACCCTAATTTTATCCATGAACAATGAAAAACAATCTGAACCCGTTTATTTTTGCGAACACACTGAGAACTAAAACAATTAATATTTTCTGCAAAGGGTTTGACTATGATACGGAAAAGATATGATATCTACCAGTCAACTGGAATCATAAATGTGGTAGCCAATTAGGTGTTATTTATCAAAATCCATGGGTGGATTTTGATTAGTCAAAACTCTTCCTATACCATATCTTTTACGCATCATAGACTTTCCCTTCTGCAAATACCACGAAATATTCTAATCTCATACTTGAAAGACTAGGGTTCTCAATGTAAATGACGCATAGAGAGAAAGAGATTTGCTACTTGAAAGACTTCAAGGTAAGATGAAGAATCCTATTGGCAAATGTTAGATTAGTCCTACGGGCTGCCTTTTTTTTCCTAGGCGCACAAAACATAAAGCTTCTTTGAAGGTTGAAGCACTGCAAGCCTGAAGGTTGCGCTATCCACCAATGACAGTTGCGCATAAATCTGAAGCAATATGAGAACAAAATTGCATTTCGATCTCCCTACCTCCGCTCTCTTCTATTGACCTACTCTTTCTCTTGTTTTATTTTAAAATTTTGAATGAGAATAATGGGTAAAATAGTCTTTTTTGTCTCTGTTAACGGACATTAATGACAAGGATGTTTTGGACAATTGTTAAAAAGCTTAGGGGTATTCTAAGACAATATGTAAATAGTAAGAATAGAGTTAGTCAATTAACTCAAATAAATACTTTTTCACAAAGTAATTAAGCAATTAAAAAAATATATTAAACTAACAAAACAAATTTTTAACTTATTCAAAAAGGACTTATTTCCTGGAAAAAAAAACAATTGTTCAAACTTATTTCCTAAACGCATAAGTGCTTATTGGAATAGACCAAGACAGGTCAGAAATCCAATAAACACTACTGTGGCGCGATCCGGGCACTTTTAGCTGGCGGCTGACTGACTCCTTGTTGGCAACGAGCGGCACCTAAGAAGATGGGAGGAAGGAATACTCCAATGCTTAAGTTAGTACTGTGTATGGGGAGTAAAGAGAAACAAAAGCTAAGAGTGGAGATCGCACTTTATCACTATATTCAAGAGGTTGGAGGTCTCCAGGAGACCTTTCTCCTCTGCCCTGAGGGCATTTATAAGAGCACTCTTGTGAGATTGGGCATAACCGCCACTGGGTCCCTGCCACAGTTGTTACCTGCCAGGGCTGCGCAGGTGGCCGTTGGGACGTACTCCTTACCCGGGCGAGTGACACATCCCCAAAGTGACAGGCACGCCTCCGCCTACTTAGAGATGTGGGCGCTGACTGTCGAAAGGATAGGGATTGCGCCGTCAGTTAGGGACGTGGCCAAGTCTGACTGGTACGGCTTATTAAATAGAAGCTTCCTGAGGAATGCTCGTGCGGCCCATTCGCGAACTACTTTGCAACGAGCTTCAAATACTTCAGAAGTACCCTTAATAGAATTGGTCCTCGGATGACTTGCCTTGTTCGGGAACTCGGGCGAGCTGGCATTCTTAGCTCGCAAGTTAAAGTTTGCCTCGGAATATCCCTTGAGGTAGCTCGGGGGACCCAAAGCTCGCATTGTGGCGAGCCCCTCCTTTACCCCGCTACCACGTAGCGAGCTGCTTTATAAGCCTATCACTTAGCCATACTGAACCACAATGCTGAGTTGTCGCTTACGCTAAGTCAACGCCCATGTGTCGCCGTTTCATAAATCGGGTCAAATCATCCTTCATCAAACACTTTTTTCAAAAAACAATTAAAAAACTGACGAAGACAAAATCTTAAGCTTATTCAAAACGGTTTCTGAAAAAAAAAAAAAACACCTATTCAGGCTTATTTCCTACATGCAAATGCTTATTGGTATGATTTTGGCTGAGCCCCACACGGATTTGATATAAGTTGTGTTTGGTGAAAATTCAAAAAACCAATATTGGCATTCCAAACACAAAAAACACGAATATGAAGTGAAAATACTCCCAGAAACTTGTCCGGAACACAGGTGATTTGTGACCACGGCTAAGTCAATGTAACTCAACTCAACGCACAAGCCCTCCCAAACGGGCTCTAAATTATCCGAAGGGAGGTTCAAGTATAATTTACTCCAAACACTAGGGGAGATTTAAATAATGTTCTCTTTGCTAAATTGTCAAAAGTTTAAGTTCCACACAACAATCCATTTTGTTCATGTTCAGCTTATATATAAAACATGTGATATGGCCACGTCAAATTAAATCCTCAATGGTGTGCCCATATCAAATTAAATCGACTGAGATGTGCCCATAGCCTTATAAGCTCAACCTCTTGCACATAACATCCAGCTCTACATTGGAAATATCTATGTAAATGTATCTTAAATTCATGGGGAAATGTTTCCAATGTAGGACTGGATTCCTATGCTTCGCGTGTGTGTAGAGTTTTTGCTTGGAGGGAATCATATCCCCTATTTGTATTCTAATTTATTTCTGTCCCTAACTCCATACTTGAGATTGATTAAACTTTCCATCAGTAAATGAAGCTTTAAGCCTACTTTCTAGGAAGATAAAGGATTTTATCTTAAATTCATGGGTAGATGTTCAATATGCACATTTGATCACAAATATATTAAAATGTCCTTTTTAACACTCCCAAAAAGGGTAAATTATAAGACCCCTTGTACTATGGGGTCAATGATAAATACCCCCTTAGCTTTTATTTGTTATAAAGATCCCTTGAACTTTCTCTTTGACATACCCCTTGTTAGAGTTCCTTCACTTAACTTTGAAAAAGAATCTCATCGGGTTGTTTAAATTTTTTTTAAATCCCCAAATTACCATTTTTCTTATTTATTAGAATGATTTATGATTCAATTAATTTCTAAATATAACATTGAAGTCCTTTATGCTGCTATAATAGATCCTTGCATATTTCTGATTTAATTCAACATTCCAATGAAATGGTACAAGTTTCTTTTTTATGGATATAAATTCATGGTTTCATTTAGTTTTTCTTGATTTATTAGATAAATAAGTTTATAATTTTTATATTTGGGAAAATCCTTTATCAGTACCCTAAACTTTAGGGGTTGTGTCAAGTCAGTCCCCAAACTTTTAGAATGTGTCTAATAGATCCCTGTCATTAACAGTTTGTCAGTTCTTTGTATCACGTAATGACATGTGTCACTTAAAACTTTTAAAACATCAAAACTACCATTGAAAGAAGACATTGTTCATTGTCTTCTATCCCGCAATTGCTACAATTTCCTATATATTCTTTAATTTTTTTAAAAATTTTATGTAACTGATGAAAATTTATTGTATATTCTAAAATCCATCTTGGATAGTTGTTGCAACCTTCCTATCTTAGCTAGGGTGTAAGGGGAAATGATGTCAATCCTAGCATTTACAAGGGAAAGGCTCTATTGATTGTTAATGTTGCATCACAATGTTCTAACTTACTTTCTTCTTTGCTTATTTCAGAATTTATTTGTGTTTGGGTTTGACTTCATTAACCACAGATTCATCATCGATAATCAGTAATCTATCACTCCACAAACTAGAAAACAAGATTGCTTGGAACCAAGATTTAAACGGAAAGAGTTTTGTTTAAATAGGTTTATGTGGAAGTGGTAGATAAAGAAAATTATATGACACCTGACGGGTAGTTTTGATATTTCCAAAATTAACTGACGAATTGTTAATAGCAGGGACCTATTAAACACAATTTGAAAGTTTAGGATACTGCATAGACACATTTTGAAGTTCGGGGACGGACTTGACACAACCCCAAAAGTTTAGGTACTTATTAGGAATTTTCCCTTTATATTTTAAGATGAAGAGAGACATTTATGTTAGTGAAATAAACTAGGAATTAAAAAAAAAAACTTTTTCTATGACAATGAAATTATTCTTATTATTTGGTTTAGTTTGGAGAAAATGGAAGCATTTTTTTTATCAATTAGGGTTTAAGAGAAAATGGCTATAAAAAGGAAAGTAAGGAAATTTCAAGTGGGTATTTTGGTAATTTAATGCATTTGTCATTTGGTTTAATGGTTAGGAGGTATTTGCCGCAAAGTGGAAGTTCAAGGGGTCTTGTTGCAAATGAAAATTCAAGGATGTATTTATCACTAACCCCATAGTACAAGGGGGTCTTTATAATTTACCCCCCCCCCCAAAAAAAAAA